CAAGTCATTTTGGTAACGTTTATAATTACTCTTCTTATACCAAGTTTGAAATTACATTTTGGTTCTTGTTTTTTTCCAAACTTCAAGACAAGTTTCTATTGTTTCACTTTGTTTTATTGTTTCGTTTTGCTAGAAGCAAACAATGAAGACTACTCTTTCATTGCAATGATGAAGAAAGCACATTAGAAGCCTGATGGAACTTATGTTGATCAACGAACATGATTGGTTGTAGAAACTAATGAAAAGCATGAACGTTTGGGACAGCTCGAATCTTCTGCTTAAGAGAATCTTAAAACTATATACCATCAAATTGTGCATATATGTTTCTTTAGTAGTGATGCATTGTTGTTGTGGCTTACTGGTTGCTTAGGCATGTAAGGGATTCATTTTGTTTTACATTCATTTGTGTTTTTTGTGATGTGTGTAGTGGTAACTATCTTACTTATTCATAATGTTTATAGATTTTGTTGTCTTTTCTATGTTTGCTCACGTATTTGGTCGTTCGTTATAGGTTATTGCTGTATAATCTATACAAGGCCATGTCTTTGGACTTGGAGCCTTGCGCAACGAGGTTTTACCATCTTTTAAGGCTTCTTCAAGTGCACTACAAAATTTTGAAAAATTAGAGATGATAACACATCGGCTCTAAGAGGTGGAAACATAACTAAAACGAAGCTGTGAAGAGAATCGCAATTTCATAGAAGACTTGAATCCGTGGAAATCTAGTAATTCTAGTTACCATTTATCATTAGTATTGTTTAGTTGTATTTTGTTAAGTATTGTTTAGTATGTATTTTGTTAAGACCTTTTCTTTGAAATTGTTTGTGAATCAACTTTACTGTGGATGCTAGTTTATTAAGTAATATCATCGTTTGCTTACCCTTTTTTCTTTTGAATGTTTTACTTTATTAATTTTCAAAAAGATCGTGACTACTATTAATTAAATAATTTGTGACTAAATTTTCATAGTTTTTCATATTCCTTGTTTTGTAACAATTTATAACGAGTTTAGTAAGAAAAAACTTCGCAAATAAAAACAAATTTTGACATTTGTGTGACTATAATCCAGTCTCTAATTGTGATATTATTTCGATTGCACGTTGTGACAGATCGTTGACTCCAATGTGGTAAGAAACTGTGACAAATAAGTGACAATATTTTGGTCACAATTTGTGGCATATTTGTGACAATTAATTCTGTCACGATTTGTGTTGTTTTTGTGACAGTTTTTATATCGTCACAAGTTGTGACGAATTGTTAATAATATTAAACGTCACAAAATTTTGTTACACTTTTGAGACTTAAATGAATTTGTGAAGATTTTATTGTGATGTTTTAGAATTCGTATCATTTTTGTCACAATAAAACATTTGTGATGAAATATTCATATATTGTGACAAAAATATTTGTAAAAATATTGATTTTTTTTGTTGTAGTGCTAGTA